TCTTCTCATTTCCTTCTGAGCTCTTATCAGAATTGCCATTGACATCCATAATTCCACCAACAGTCTTTTTTTAGTCAATCTAGGATTTTATTATTAGGCAGTTTAGTACTGTTCCAGCCTCTGCTCATTATCCAGTTCCAAAACTGCTCCCACATTTTAGGTATCTGCTAGAGCAGCACCCCACTTTCCTGCCATCAAATTCTGTCTGTGTTATCTAATGCTGTCATAACAGCAATACTACAAGCTGATGGCTTTACCAACTAGAAATGCATTCTCTCACATTTAGAACACTTGAAGTCCAAATTCAGAGTGCTGGCTCACGGGGAAAGCTTTCTCTTTGTTGCCTCTGCAGAGATGTCCATGTCTCCTTTCAGCATCTGAAGACACCAGTCTTCCCCTGGATCCTGGAGCATCATGGAACAGGAAGCTCAGTTCCAAAGGATGTACTCCAATCCCAGCTCTTCTATCTTGGTGGTAGTAGGTCCCTCTTTCTCTGCTCACTTCGCTCTCCTTTTATATGTCAAAGGAGTTTGACTCAAGATACAACCTAATCCTGTAGGTTTCATCTGACCTGATTAATACATAGAAATGAGAGTTTACAACACAGAATAATTACATCTGATTAGGGCTGACCACATCGGATCCCATCAAGGGAGTGTATCATATTCAATCTCATCATGAAGGTGATTACTACATCTTAACTGCCAAACCACTGAGAATTCCATCCCAGCCAAATTGACACAAAACCTAACTATCTCACCAAACCTAAATATCACACTGATTAACAAGTTAACTTTTAAAAAGATGGTAATTAATGATACAAAGTAATATATTCTAAGAGCCAAATGAGAAGGCTAGGCAGTAAACACTGCAGACATTCAGAAGAGGGAGAGAGAATTATAGAATGGATTGGTTGGGGATGAGTTCAGAAAGAAAATGGGATTTGAACAGGTCCTGAAGGGATACAGATAGGATTTAAGTGCAGAGGAAAGAAACACCATTTTCACTGAGGGAAAAGTGTATATAAAAAAGTGGTGCAAAGTATGAGCGCCTGAAGGTGCAAACAGGTCTGCAAAGCGGTAAACATGTGCACTGCCTGTTTGGAGGACAGGAAGTGGCCAGTTTGGGGAAAAGAGAAAGAGGGGTCTGGGATATTGTGCGGGGAGAGGGCTCTTATTACCAAGACAGGGATGTGTTGGGGTTACGGGTTTGGTGCAATCACTTCTCCTGGCATATCTGGGTGCCGTCTTGGTACCTATAACCTTGCATACCGTGGCTGTTCTCACTCATCTGCTTACCACACAAACTCCCTGAGTCGCATAGGCAGCAGTTTCCAGGCCAAATTCTCTTCCACTGTCAACTTGACCTTGGGAACTTTTTGTTTTCTCCTGGGAATTTCCTTTCTTAGCGACCTCTCTAACCTAGCTACTCCTCTGAAGCAGCAATTCTGTTTGTTTGTTTCGTGGCTGGTGGCTGGGAGTCCTAGTGTTTCCAGGGAACCCTGGTTCATTAATTTACTTTCTCGGTCCAGTTCAAGGATCCCTGGTGATGCAGTGGTTAAAGCAGTTGACTGCTAATCAAAAGGTTGGTGGCTCACACCCACCAACCTCTGTTGAGACTACAGCCTTGAAAAGCCTATCAGGCAGTTCACCTCTATGAGTTGGAATCGACTCAACCACAGTGGGTTTCGTTGGTTTGGGGGTATCTACATCCTTAATTTAGAAAATTGAAACCACCTTTCCAAATGAGAATCGAATAATAGGGAAACTAAGTACTTTTCTCTGGGAAGAGCATGCCATTTGTATCTACAAACCAACTTCAACGTTGGTCTTTTGTACTCATTCACTGAAGAACCTTTGTTTTTGATTGTTCTCTTCTGATGTATCTGAGAACAGAGTAGGTAATTTCATTCTATGGACTTTTACTGTAGACCCTTGATGTGCATTGTTAAGTGCCGTTGAGTCCTGACTCATAGTGACCCTGTATAGGGTTTCCGAGGCTGGCAGCAAAAAGCTTCATCTCTCTCTTTCCCACTTGGCAGCTGGTGGTCTTCAACTGCTGACCTGGTGGTTTACAGTCCAGTCTTATCCTATAGAGCCACTGAACTCTGCATAATGTTATGATGTGCATAACATTAAGCTCTATCTGGAAGCAGCCCCAGGGATTTGAATTAGAGTCGGGACATAGAAGCTACTACTTACTTGAATCTTACACCAAATTCAAATACTTGGATTCAGAGGGGAACATATTGGAGCTATGAGTAGCCTTCCAGGATCCTATCCTGGGGAAAGCTTCCAGGATACCAGGGCTTTGAGGGGTGAAAGCCAGCTGGATTTGGGTTGAGAAGGGAGAACATAAATATTGTCTCGGAGTCATGGCTTGAGCCCTGTATTTCAGGGGCAGTAAGAAGCCTACCTGGATAAGAGAGAGGAGGATGTATATATGAGAGGAAAGTGGAGAAAAGGCACTTTGGTAGAGTCTGGCGTAATGAATGCTATGTTACTTTATGCTTCCCAAGGCCTAACTTTATGCTCAGCAACAGCCACAAAACATAGAATTAAACTTACTTCTAACTTAGACTTATTTCTATGCCCACATGATGATTATTGCAAAAATATGAAGCAACAACCATTCGTCCCACAGCCCTCTCTCCTCAGCTGGGATTTGATAATTCATTGCAATGGCCACACAGAACTCAGACACCATACCACAGTTATGGGGCTTATTAGGGAAGCTAACAGGTTACCATAAAATGCTCAGGGCACAGTTGTTCCAGTCAGCTGCTGACAAATGCCCATATGACACACCACTACACCATAAGTCTCAGCCTGAAGGCACTGGGCTGTAGCTCTGAAGATCAGCAAACCTAGCTTGCCCACGTACGTGCCTGGAGACACTCCACTCTATAAGCTTCCTGCCCAAAGTCACTCAGCTCTGCTTGCTGCGTGTATTGGGAAGCCTACTGCTCTCTGTCTTGTGCTCTGGTTCTTGGTTCTGCTGCTGCTATTCCTTCACCAGTCCTCTGGTATCACAACTTTCTCTACCTGAGTTGAGGAGGTTCGATGCACAGGGATCTCGAGTCTAAAGGATGCATTCCACCCCAGGCTCTTCTTCTTTGATGGGTGAGATCCCCTCGCCTCCTGCTTCTGAGATGACTCATTTTAAACCCGCAGTAGAGTTCCAAGCTTTCACAACTACAATGAACTCTGTCAACATCCATAGCTGACTCATGTCATCCTATTAGTATCTTCTCCCACCTACTTCTAACCCCAACCTATCATGGAAAGGGTCATTTGGTGAATGCTACAGAGACAAGATATTGAATAATTCACTACTCCACAACTATATAAATCTATTTTTTTTTGAAAAATGCAATGTGAATTATGACCTAATGGAAACTAACTTTAGGCCTTGGTCCTCTTGGATCTTTCTGGGACCCTGTTAGATCAGCCAGACCATCATGAATGGCAGCAAACAGAAGAGAGAGTTAGTGCTTTTCCAATGTCTGGGACTGGGAAGACAGATGTCTTCAGGAGTCCCCCAACGTCCCCCACTCCACTGCAACATGCAAGCCACCATAGTATGACAAACTTTTATAACCCTTCATTAAAATGAACATAAAATGTGGGTCAGTTTCCACTTAGGGATATGAAGAAGTACATGCAGAATGCTAGATGTGTGTGTTCTCTACCTGGTTCCTTCTTCTCCTATGTGACTGAGCCCACATATCGAGCATATAAAGAGGGACTTCAGCATGGCCAGCTCCCTCAGCCATGTGCCTGTTAATCCTCCTCCATTTCCTTCCTGTTCTGTGGCCTTTCAGTTTCATAACTTAAAAAACTCTTCCACAGCTCTTACATCTTTTGTTTCGTCCTTGGTCACATGAGACACAGTGGCATCACTAATGCTGGTGTTACCCAGTTCAGTAGCTCTTGGTGCCACTCCTGGCTCCCATGGACCTCCTCCTGTACCAGATCACACTGAATCCTTAGTGATGTTTGTTGTTGTTGTTGTTGTTAAGTGTTGTGGAGTCGATTCCGACTCATAACAATCCTGTATAAGGTTTCTGAGAAGCAAATAGTGAGTTTGAACCATTGACTTTATGTTTCAAACCGACCTTGCAGTCCAGCACATTAACCCGCAGCACCACACCAGGACTCCACTAGTAATGTTTACTGTCAATTTAATCTTAAAATGGTATGTGATGTAGTTGTAAATTGATTAAATGTCATATTTCTTAGACTATAGAAATATTAACAAAATTGCTTTGTAAAATCTTTTTTCATTGAATTGCAGTATGATTAGTCACTGAGTTATTAGTTACACTATAGTAACTGAGCAGAAGCCTTTTTAAAAAGTTTTTATTGTGAATTATGTGATAGTTTACATGGGAGAACATTAGCTTTACATTCATCCTATCGTATATTGTTTCATTGCCATGATTACAATCCCCTCGATGCATCATCAACCAACCAAAGGGTACACCCTGCAAGTCTGCCCCTCGGTTGTCAGCACACAGCCTTTTCCCTCTCTGGGTTTAGAGTTCCCAGCCGCTCCATTGCGTCACGTCATCGTGTGAGCGGAAACCTTTTAAAATTCTTCTCCTTATTTTCCTTTAAATACTACTTAGTTCTCAAAAAAGTCATTGATAGAGATTCACAAATACTACTTACTACAATATTGTAGCTAAAACACCAGAAATACGACAACCTGTGACTATGAACAAGCAGCAGCCAGGAGCACAACAATGCGTGCTTGTACTGTGTGTGTGTGAAACTGGGGGGTATTAATCAAGGGGCAGTAATTTGCTAATAATGACAGATTTGACCAGAGCATATTAAAATTCAAGAAGTAAATTAATGGAGAGTCCTAGTCTTAAAGATACGTTGATACATGTAAGCTGGTCTTACTAAAATGTTTTTGTTGTTATGATTAGTTACAGGGATATATATATATAAATTTCTGCTGAAACACTGCACAAAATTTTTGTAATTTTATAGACAGTCATTTTGGTGTCACTCCATCTGACAGTGTCTCCAGTTGTGGTCTGTACCCTTTCTATTCTCTTAGTGACACCTCTCATTGACCGCTTCCATGTCTACCCCTGCCTCCCGCTCATTCCTCAGGCCTCAGGGCTGCCATCTGCATTCTTCCTTGTTGATGTAAAGCTGTCTGTTTCACATTTGCAGAGCTCGGACATCCTCAGCACCATTGGTTATGACAGCATCATTCAGCACCTGAACAATGGCCGCAAGAACTGCAAAGAGTTTGAAGACTTTTTAAAAGAAAGGTACAATAATGCTCTTTCCTCTCTGAAAAGGGGGCCAAGGGGAGATTTTCTCACATGAACAAAGAACAATGCTCTTGTTTTTCTTTTCTTTTTAATGGTTTGCAAGGCCCTCTGCATTTGGACACAGAATGGTACCCAAGAAGTAAATGACAATCCTATATTAAAGGTCTTAGAAACCAATTTGGGAGATAAGGTTTATGAAGGATAGAGTAAATAAAATATATTAAGATACTAAATGATGTGGCCCACCTAACTGAAAGGCCTCAGGGGAGAAGGAGGTTGCAAAGGGTAGGCAAGAGAAGAAAGGGCCGATTCATGGAGGAGGAAACCCTTAAGATGGCCCTCAGAGGGTGAGGTGGGTTTGGTAGGGGAAGGAATATGCAGATATCCATGCTGTGGGAGAACAGTGAGTGGGAGGTGGGGATGAGATAGGACAGAGCCTGATTCAGTGCAGGCTGAGGAAGTTCTAGAAAATGTCAAAAGTTCAGCTAACCCTGCTAGTCCATGGATAAGCTGGCATGGTTTATAAGATTTTCTTTCTTCCCTTTTTAAAATGGATACTATTAAAAAAAAAAAATTCTATCCTTAGTGGGGTTCTAAACTTAATGGGATTTCTAAACTCTTGGTGCGGTGGGATAAGCACTGAGTTGCTAACTGCAAGGTCTGTAGTTCAAGCCCATTAGCCACTGGGAACAAGATAAAGCTGTCTTCTGTAAAAATTTACAGTCTCAGAAACCCTATGGAGCAATTCTACTGTGTCCTATAAAGATGCTGCAAGTTACAATCAACTCGATGGCAATGTTCTTTTTTCCCCCACTTAATGAGGTGAGTTCGTTTTGTAGAAAATCATACTCCATTCCTCAGTGATTCTGGATGAAGGAGCGTTTTTTGTCCAGTCCAGTCCCAAAATTAACCAACAGGCCCTAGTTGTCAGACAGTGAGTGATAGGTTCAGAACTTAGAGCCACCAGAGCGATTTCAATGGTCTCTTTAGTTCTTCTAGAGAGAATATTAGTAACGATCAAGCTTATCACACTGGTTGCCTAGCGCTCTGTGACGGGCTTCTCTTTTTGAGCTGTTGCAAATGTCTGAGGGCCCTGGAGCACTGGAACCCTGTGTCTTAGGAGGGGCTGATGGAGAGACAGGTGCCAGCCATTGTCCCTTCTTCTTTGAGGGGACTGACCCCCCACTGTCATGCACAAGATGGTTGAAAGGGATAGTAACTCATGCCAATTTCCTTTCTCTTTCAGGAGGTGGGCAGAGTGCTAATCATCTTGTTCTCTGCCTGGTGTGTCAAACATCCCAAACCCTCTAAACCTCAAATAACTATCCTCATAATCATTTCTGTAAACTTTTCTTAATCTCAAAAGGATCATTTAGGAAGTAATTCTTTCTGGGACAACTGATGAATTATTTGAAGTTTGGTTTCCTTTTCTTCTGTAAAATTAAAATAAACTCAGGTTTATTTTAGTAAATCCTGGTATGACACTGTAGGATAAGCACAGGACCAAAAGGTTGGT